AGGAGCGACAAGTTGAAACTCACTCCATAAAATCCGTTCAAGACCTTCCCCCGGTACCTCGGCTGGTACCACCGAGTTCCACCACATTTTCCAAGTTGGTCATATTCACCTGGTCACATTACCGTTGAGCCACTCCCACAAAACAGGCCACACCTACAGAATAGGTTCTAAAAAAATTTGAAACCCACCACTGCTTCCATCCTCCTGAGGTGGGTAAAATGAGAACCCAGATTGTTGAGAGCAATATGCTGACTCTGTAAAGCACCTAGAGAGGGCTATAAAGCACTGTGAGGTGCTATATAAATCTAAGTACTATTGGTAAGTGCTATTATTTTAAAAAGAAGACAATTGATAGTTGCCATTTTTAGTAACAATGCTTAATATATAGTTACTTGATTAATACTACCAGTAAGTTCTTAGTCAATAAGTCTATGTCTCTAAAGTTACTGTGCATGCTACAAACCATTTCTGCATTTCTTCAGGTTCAAGCTGGGTTTATCAGATCTTGATGCAGCTGGAAGTTGTCTCTGGAAAATACGAGGAAGACGAGCAGAAACAAGGGCAGCAAAGACTGAAAGAATTATCGACATTTAGTTTTCTTGAATTTGCAGAGCCAAGAAATTTTGAGGTTAGAAGTTGGAGAAATACTCAGTAGCTTCTATCAAGTGGCAGGAAAGTCACATGGAAGATTTAAAAGCTGATGTAGGACAGAACATCTCTGTTTTAACGAAGTAAAATTCACTCATTAGGAAAAAAAAACCTAGGCAGGTGCAGGAGAGAAACATAGATTTGTGTGCGAGGCTGTGTTTTCAGCTTAATCAGCTCACTGCAAAAATGTGTTGTAAATCATTGGAGCTCTACTAAAAACAAAGCAGATTTTGCTACTCTGAACTCTGTCCTAAAATATCATAACATTAATCTATGAGAAATAAGCTAAAGTAGGAACAGACATCCTTTTTGGAAGTAAGAGCTGCACTGACCTCAATGTCCATGTGTTGATGGGACGTGATGATACTTTCACAGACAGAGGTCACAAAGGAGCCACTGTCTAACATCAAGGCCCAAGTCAGCAGAGAAAACATTTTTACATTGACTCGCTTGTTTTTTTAGATGAATTTATTCTATCCCAAAGTGTAATTGAGCAATTGGTCCAGTTCAACTCTACTGCGCATGCGCGCATGCCTCCTACTGGCCAGATGGTCTTCGGATCTCTACTGTGCATGCGTGGTGTGTGTGTGTGAAGCCCCACACACATGTGGGGGGGGTGCATGTGGGGGGAACACATGCATGGGGCCCAAGGTGCATGTGCAGGGGCCACACGTGCATTGAACTTTGGGCATTTGGATGCGCGCACATTTACACACGTGCAATTTGGGCACTTGGTCCACAAAAGGTTAGCCATCACTGATATACAGACTGTACGAAGACAAAGAAGGGCTTGAATGGAAGATTCAGTCGGAGACTTCAGCTTGTCTTTATTTTAAAATTATTTTCAGTAGCTTTGTATTTTATCATGAATTCTTAGTTCAGCTCATGCCTTCTTTCACAGAGAATTGTAGAAAAGAAAACCCCAGTCAAATAACTTAAAAGAATTTCACCAGATTGAATGCATTCCCTGAGGAGGGTTGACCTGTGCTGTTTCCTCTAGCACAATGACGCCAAACTCCGGCCTCTCTTTGACACCTTCCTCCAGTCCACCACAGCAGTTTAGGATGACAAAGATCAGTGGGACTTATGAGATGAACTTTGATATCCCTAATTTATATTTGTGTATGATTTTCTTTGCATTATGATTTTAACATTATTAAAGAGGATGGAAAAACTGCCTTACAGACGAGTTATAAAAACACACCTCGCCCCTCGAAGGTTGCCCAGGTCTCTTTTTGAAAAGGCAAAAGTAAGTAGCTTAATTTTCTTGATCTCGCTGTTATATATCATTAGTACATATCTGTTACATCTATCAATGAGATGTTGTCAACTAAATTTACACAGTAAAATAAGACAACACGCCCAGGATCACATCAGGTTTTTATGACCTGAGCAGGCCTGGATCATAGCAAAACTGTATTTTATTCAGAATAAAAATTTAAACCTCTTTTTTCCCCCTGGTTTTCAAGCAAGCAAGAAAGGTGCTTCACTGGAGCCCAAAGTCTGAGACTTGTTGCCACTAAATGTCATTATTTAGTGTTATGTTAGTATCAAGCAGGGGTGTGGTGGCTCAATGGCTAAGACGCTGAGCTTGTCGATTAGAAAGGTTGGCAGTTTGGTGGTACGAATTCCTAGCGCGGTGTAGCGGAGTGAACTCCCATTACTTGTCCCAGTTTCTGCCAACCAAGCAGTTTGAAAGCATGTAAAAATGCAAGTAGAAAAATAGGAACCACCTTTGGTGGGAAGGTAACAGTGTTCCGTGCACCTTCTGCGTTTAGTCATGCTGGCCACATGATCATGGAGACGTCTTCGGACAGTGCTGGCTCTTCGGCTTTGAAACAGAGATGAGCACTGCCCCCTAGAGTCGGGAACAACTAGCACATATGTGCAAGGGGAACCATTACCTTTACCTTTAGTATTAGGCAAGTTCATCACATCAGTGATATCACCACTCAGAGTTGTTTCAACATGAGATGACCTGCAAATAAATTTAAGAAATAAAAGAAATAAATAAAATATTCACTTAAATATTCAAACTAAGCTTTTGTTAAAAATTCCAGGTCAAATATTCTGAGCTTTGCTGCTTACAATAGTTTATTTAGGATCTTGGGGAATGGTCTTGGAAAAATTCTTTAAAAATGATTGTTCTCCTAATCTGATTACTTTCCTTTAATCCCCATTCAATTCATTTCCTTATTTGTTTGTTTATTTAATATTTCCTGTGCCATGTATCTCCCCGACTCTGGGTAGCTACATTTGAACTTTCATACTGCAAATTTTTTTAAATGGAATATTTTCAGGTTTCTGGCTCTCGTCTTCTAGATTTAATATATTTACATGTCAATATATGATTTTACCTTAAAGATACTGGTTTTGTTACGGAATCCAAAGGACACCACTGTATCTTCCTTCCATTTTTACAAAGGCATCAAATTGATTTCTGACCAGGAAACCTGGGATGAGTACTTTGAAGCTTTTATCTCTGGAAAAGGTATGCTTGGTTCTCTTTCTTCATTAGAAAAAAATTAAGATTCAAATAGGGAATTAGATTTCTTTAATATTATTTAAAGCCGTGGCCTGACAAAACCGCGCTCGTCAAAATAGCGGCGATAAAACCGCGTCACTAAAGCCGCGACGTCATCACCGCAACCTCATCACCGCGGCGACAACAGCGCGGCGACAGAAGGGCTCTTTAAAACAGCGCGGTGGCAGAAAGCCGATTTAAATTAAGGTAAGG